CTCGGCCTGAACCTCGCCGGCGTCGGCCAGGATGCGGTTCTTGCGGGGGCGGCCCGCCTTCTTGGGAACGGGCGCATCCTTAATGGCCTCGAGCGTCGCCTCCTCCTGCTTGCGGTCGCGCCGGAGACGGTCCTCTTACCGCCAATCCTCCACACATCTTGGTACAAGGTATCCGAGGGCTTTCGAGCAGTCGATCGCCGCGCGCGCGGCCGGTTTGTCGGTCGAGCCGACGAGATTGTATGGGCGACGTCGAGCCGTGCGGTCGGGAAGGGGGCCGGCGGGAAAGACGAGCTTGTTGGCGATCTAGATCGTGCCATGATGCGTCTCCGGCTACAACGGATCTTGCCGAGACCAAGGTTCCAGAGAGCAAAGAGGATGCGATCTAGCCATGGGGACTTGCGTGTGATGTCTGGCCATAACAGAACTTCAAAAACATTGATATCCGGTGAATTACAAATGGCATTATGTGGTTTCTGCATTTGGTTCCTATTCCTACCTATAAAATATTGGAAAGGAACCAAGGCCAGTATTGCTCGGCACTGTAACGAGCAAGGCGACGGACTGCCCAAATAATCTTGTAAATGTCCTGGACCCTATTTGTGCTTCCGAGCAAACACTCGGTAAGTAAAATGGTTTCATCGCCTCGCTTTATCGCGGCCGCAAACTTCCACTCGTGGCCGACAATGTGAATTGCAGGCAGAAAGTCAGGCCTGGGCGGCGATGGCGGCAGGGGGCTCGGACGGGTCGCGCTCAGGTTTGAGCTTGGTTAACGTGTCAAGCATCTTCCACTGCGCGGCCTGCCACACACCCAGCTGGACCTCGGCGGTTTTGACAGAGCCTCCGAGACACTTAGTTTCGATGCTGACGGCGATTGGCTTTTGACTTAGTGCGCGGAAATCGGTGTGGTTGATGGAAGAACCCGGCAGACGGCTGCTGATGCCGTCGATAGCCTGCAGGGCGGGGGTGGTGGCCATGCGTCCTTTGGGCCATTTGGGGTCGATGCTGAGGCAGAAGTCGACCATGTTCCCGTTTTGTGAGCTGGCAGGGAGGTAATCCCTCTGGATCCGAGCCGAGGTGCATGGCGTGACGTTGACTTGACTGCGCCTAGGTATCGCGAGCCTCAGCAGCGGG